TGATTATCTGAAATTCTGATTTAATTGGGTGTCTTGCACTTTATTCAGCAGCCCTACCCCTGCTGTCCCCCCAGTGCCTCCCAGCCTTTCACTGCCACAGCACCACCCTGTCCTCCTCCCCTTTCCCCAGCCTGTCCCCCAACCTCCTACCCTAGGTCTAGCCCAGAACTCACCATCAGCCAAAACCTGTGTCTGCCTCATGCCCTGGCCTCCCGCCTCCAGGGCCAGTGTTTTTGCTGTTTCTCTTTTTATTTTTCTGCCATAGAGCAATACACATTCACTACAGAAAAATCACAGGCTGTGGAGAAGCAACAGGAAGAAAGTAAGAAAACGCTCCTAATCCCACCCACACAAAGACAACTACTGTCAATACCTTGGGTAGATTTTTCTAGAGCTGTATGTGTGTGAGTGTCTCTGCAGATACTTAAAAGAAAGCATGCACGCTCACTGCCCCAGTTCAGACCTGCTGTCCTATAAGCTGCATTTTCCTGTCACCCTAGAGTGCAAAATCTCAGCGTCCTGAGTTGTTTTAGCCTCTGGAAGGGATGCTGGGGACCCGAAGTGAAACCCCCAGACACTGGGGTCAGAGGGGCCTATGGTCAAATGACTTTCTAGTCCATGACATTGTGTATGGTTTGCTGGGCCCGTTACAGCAATACACCACCCATGGATGGCTTGAACAGAAATTAATTTTCTTACAATTCTGGAGGCTGGAAGTCCAAGCCCAAGATGTCAGCCGGGGTGGTTTCTGCTGAGGTCTGTCTTGGCTTGCAGACGGCTGCCTTCTTACTACGTCCTTAGATGGCCTGTCCTCTGTATCTGTATCCTCATCTCTTCTTACAGGGACACCAGTCATGCTGGGTCGGGGCCCACCCTAATGACCCCATTTTGACATGCTCTCCTCTTTCCAGGCCCTATCTCCAAATAAAGCCTCGTTCTGAGGAAATGTGGGTTAGAACTTCAACGTGACTTTTGGGGAACGCAGGTCAGCCCATGATGCCTTGCCTGGCTCACTCCAGACATGCGGAGCCTCAATGAAATGGGGTGGGTGATCATAGTCATCTAAGAGGAGTGTCAGGATGCCCAAGTCAGGCCGTCCTGACAGCGCACTTGCCTGGCACCTGGGCCCTGGGGCAAGCGTGTCAGTGCGACTGCCTAGTCTTCTTGCTCCCCTGCAGGTGGATAGGAGGGGCCGTGGACCTCCTGGTGCCTCTTTACCCCTTTGCTCACAGGTTTGGTGAATCCCTCCAGGTAAGTTCCCAGAGGAGAGTTGCTGGATGGAAGGTGGCGATGAAAGCCTGAGTCCTGAAAGTGCACCTGTCCACTCTCCTCATGGGTGGGGTGCATGAATGTGCCCCCAGCCCCATCCTCAGGCCTCCCATGGCTCCTCCCCATCTGACTGTCTGCCCCACTTTCCTGTCTGAGGCTCCTGTCCCCCAAGGCTGGTGCCTACGGCCCCTCCCGAGCTACCGGACTCTTTTCTGCCTCTCCTCCTCTTCATTGGCCTTGCCACCCTGCTGCTTTGTATCCATACTGGGGACTCCTTGTTTTCTGAACATGATGAACGCCTTCAGGCCTCCAAGCTTTGCGCTGGCAGTGCCCTCTGCCACGGATGCACTTCCTTCTATCTCTGCTGTCCGGGGGGGCCACTTGTGCCTTCAAGGGGCAAATAAGACCTTTTCTGTGAACCCTTTTCATGCCCCTCCTCCCTCTCCTTGCTCAAAACGAAACCATCTGCTAAGCCCACACAGGACCTTGAAAAGATACAAATTGTGAGGATGATGGTGACTGCAGCAACAGCCATGGCTGTCTCCTCACCCTGCTCCCCACTGACCCCAGCATTCCTCAAGGGGCCTCAGCCATCTGGATGGTGCCAGGTGCAGACCTGCTCAGATGAGATGGATTAACCGGTGAGGAGGCCAGGACAGGAACCGCACAAGAACACAATACGTCTGTGTGTGTGTGTGTGGTGTCATCAAACACTATGTGACATGATCCCAATTAGGGAAAATATGTCTGAGAATGTGCTTTTTCTCATCTGAGAATATGACATATCCGACGGTAAATATGTAAAATAGAATCTGGAGAGAAACGCACCCAGCAGTCAACAGGGGCTGTCCTGGTTAAGGGAGGAATGCTGATGATCAGGTGGTGGGCTTGCGAACATTTTTGATCCCTCAGGAGAAATACACTTCATTTCAACCACCTGGTACACACACACACACATATGCTCGCACCTACACTCCCACATACACATATGCACACATGCACACACTCACACATTATATGTATAACTGAAGCCAAAGTTGCAGGAAACCCCAGCTACCCTAGGTGAAACGCACACTGCTATTCTTATCGTGTTTATTCTGTTTCATTCTCCCGAATGGTTGACTTGATCTGATAAATTGATTTCATGCCCCACTGCTGGGCCCTGATTTACAGTCTGAAAACTCCTGCTCTGAGGGAGGCTTGCATTTTCTGCTCTGGGTTCTCCTGTATTTAAAATTTAATATGGAGGATGGATTCAAGTCTTGTCTTTGTAATTTTTCACTTAAAGGTAGAGAGAGGGAGCAATGGAAAAATACAAAACAATAAAAGTCAAACAGACTTCCTGAAGGCGGCTCAGCAAAATGTGGTGAAACAGACCTCTTTAAAGGTGTTCATACTTCTCTTCCGAGCTGCTTCACTTTAAGACACGTTACTAGCTGGGGTAACGGGGTACAGAGCTGCGCTTGCAGGCTGCTCATCCCCACTAACATCTGGGATGCCCGCCCGTAGACCCCTGCTGGTCATCCATTAGAGTGCGGTGCGCGGCCATTCAAGCTTATTTGTGGACACAGAAAGAAGTGGTGCAGTAAAGAGGGGGTGCCCTGGGAGTAACAAGTTACTGGCAGGGTACAAAAGGCTAACACCACCCGGACCTTGTTTCCAAAATATGTATTTGCAAGTGTGAGGGAGAGGGACAGAGAGGGACAAGGGCGCACTCACGGGGAGTTACGTTGGATTGCTTTTAGTTCTGTTATATCGCCAATGAGTGTGCATTGCTTTCACAGGGGACATTTTCAAGGAAAAGAGAAAGACGAAAGGAAAGGAAGAAACAAAAAAAAAGGGGGGGGGGGCGAATGTAAGAGAGAAAGAAACGGAAAGAGGAAGGGGAAGAACGGAGGGAGGGAAGGAAGAAGAGAGAAATAAAAAAGTGGGGGGTGCTCGGAGTTCCCCGAGCGGCGACCGGGAGCGAGTGCGGACAGCGCTCGGAGTGTCTGGCGCTGCAGGTCCCCGCGCTAAGGCGCGAAAGCGCGCTCTGGAGTTTCGATCTGGGAAGCTCCAGGAGGCCCAGGGGGTGCAGGCTTTCCGGCTAGGGGAGGAGGTCGCTTGGCGCGTCCAAGGAGACCCCTAAGCTACTGGCGGGGATGCAGAGCGGCTGGAGCGCGCCCTGCTGGGCCGGGAGGCTGCCGCTGTCCCGGGCCGCCCTCCGCTCCACCAAGACCTGGTCCAGGCCAGCCGGGCGGGCAGGGAGCTCGGGGAAAGCTCTCCCCGGCGCCGGGCCGCGTCTCCGCCGCGATCTCCCTTTCTTCCCGGCGGTTTCGGGATGAGAAGAAGCGTGCGCGAAGGTAGGGTAGGGGGTGGTGGTAGTGGGGAGGAGAAGCAAAAATCTCGTCGGTGCCAAATTTTTCTTTATTTTCCAATAGAGATACTTTTAAAGGAAAACCAAATCCACTAATTTAGGATGTCAGTTCCAAAAAGTTTTTACAGAGGAGCAGCGTAGGGGCTGGGCGCAGAATTGGGGACCGCATTGGCTGAACGGGGGCGTCTCTTCCATCCCGCCTGCCTGGCCCAGCCGCGCCCCTACCCGACCCTGCCAAGTGCACCCGCGCTTACATCGAAGCGCAAACCGACACTACCCACCCCGACCCCCGGCGACCCGGACAGTCCTGGGTTCCCCGGGCGTTGTCGCGGAGCGCCAGGGAAGTTCACCTGCCCGGTCCCCTCACCTGGATCCACACACTCCAGCCTGAGCGCCGTTCACTGTGTCCACCACCTCTCACTTCCTGTTCAAGGCTTCGCTGGCAAAGGGGGCTGCAGGCCAAGCTAGTCCCGAGCCCCCGGCGTCGCCCTCCCCCCGGGCGTAGCAGGCGAGAGTGAGGGCGGGGATTGCGCGGGAGCCCTGGCCTTGACTGCAGGCGGGGACAACGCCCCGAACCCCCGCCCTGGCCCTGGAATTTACCATTCTCCTCTCTGTGGTTTCTCTCGGTTCACCCCAGTGCCCCCCACCTCTGCTTCCCAGCCGGGAGCGGGTGGTGGGGTTTGACTGGAGCTTGGAGAAGCGGAGGAGGGGCAGGAGGAGGAGGACGGGGGGCTTGGCAGGGGGCGCACCTAGCAGCACGCTGGCCCTGCTGTAGGATCCGCAGCTGAAGTGAGGGCGCCCCTCCGCCACTACGCGCCTCCCGCGGACTCCAGCAGCCTGGAGGGGCTGGGAAAGAGGCGAGGTTGCAGGTGCGGGAAAAGGGCCAGGGAGGAGTCAGGTGAGCAGTGCTGCCTGCAATGGTCTGGAGCGGTGCTCTACCAGGTTCAAAGCCCCTCTCGCCCTCCACCTCCCACCACCGCCTCCACACACCGCCCGAAGCTCAGTTGCTCAGTTAAGTTAGACGGGCGGCTGCAGGGGCAGCTGCATCTGTTCGTGTGTGCGTGCGCGCGCGGGAGCAAGAGAGGATCCCCTTGCCCCCACCCCCACCGCTTTCCAGGACCCCGCGGCGCTCCGATACCTTGCTCTTCTCCTGCCCCAAAATCCCCGTCCAGGTGGGTGCGTGTGCTTTTGGGAGCTCCCTGGGCATCGCGGCAGATCCTCTTCCTTGTCCATCCTCCTCCAGCGCCCCTGCCAGCCCAGGGTCCTTCCCGCCCAGCTTCCCAAGGCCACTTTGGGGACTCGAGGGAGGGATGTGTGTTTAATTCTTGCTGCTATTCAAAGAGAAAAGAAAATAAAGGGACCAAAGGCAACCAGAAAGCCGTTTACTTAAAGGCTTTATTATTGGAGATTGAAAGAAGTTTATATACAGGAACTGTTTCCAGCAAAACACTCACCAAATGGCCTTCCAATCAGGGGCCCTCCACCACTCAGCCCCACAATCAGCAGCTCTGCCTAGGATGCCCCTCACTTGGGGACCAAAGGCTCTCCCCCCACCTCTCTTTCACCGGACTCCATCACTCCAACCCCATTCCCCAGGAGTCTCAGCCTTTTCTCTCTCCCTGGGGCGCTGCGAACCTCGCCAATGCCTCTCAAGCAATCTTCCTCTGGTCCCAAAGCAGACAACCAAACCTCCCCCCACCCATTTAAGGGGGTTTCCCCACGGAAACCCAGAGCACTCTCCCCCTCAAGGTTCAGGCGCTGCTTTGAGGCTCCTGCAATTCAGAACTAGCTCGTGGTCAAGACCAGTTAGAGACAGTTCATCATCAGCAGTGGGGCCCCTGTGCACCCAAAACAAGTGGGGGAAACTGCCCTGCCCACCCCTCCCCACCCCCGACATCCCTTCCCCTACCAGAGATAGGAAATAACACAAAAGCAACAGGGAAGCCCTCTCCACGCGCGACAGGTGGGTGCCAGGCAACTAGCTCAGCTGAGCCGAAAGCCTCCTGGAACCCAGCTGTGCTCAGGGCCTCAGGGCGCGCGGGCGTGGCCAAGGTCTTCTCTTGTGCGCTGCGGGAAGCACTGGGCCAAAGCACTTGGTTGAGGGCACGCTGGGGAGCGGGTGTAAGAAAGTGCTGTTGTAAAGGCAAATCCTCTAGCGGCACACGGACAAGGGAAAGCCGTATCCCACGCTCAGAAGAGGATTTCCAGTGAGCCAGGCAGGTGTGAATGAGACAGTTCAAAAGCAGAGTCTCAGGGAGGTAGGGGAGACTGCTCAGGTGGCTGAGGGTGCAGACTCAGTCTGGAATGGTGGCTCAGCACATCTGTGGCACTGGGGCCTCGCCAAGCGTGACTTGGTTTGAGGCGCTTGCACGTGGGCTTCGAAGGCTCGAAGGCGCAGCCCAGCAAGTTCAGGCAGCTGTGCTGAACTGTGTTACACCCTCCGGGGCCGAGCACCATGCAGCTGCTCATCATAGCGCTCCAACCAAGTGCGCAGCTCAGAGACCTGGTAGCCATCGGGGCCCCGGCCGCCCTGGTACATAATGGTGCCACTCTGGATGACATAGAGACGCTCGAAGTAGGCTCCATAAGCCGAGCTGCTGGAGTTGGCCATGGTGTCGAGGACCAGAGCGCAGCCGGGTGCACCTTGCTGCAGTACCTTCGCTGCGCTGACCCGGTCCTCCAGGCTCCGGTGCTGCGGGATGATGTAGGGGGAGTCCGTGGTGACCCAGCCATCGGAGGGGTGTGCTTCCTCGATGTAGATGATGAGGAAGTCGACGTCGCGCTGGTACTTGGTGACCAGGCGCTGGAAGGCGCTCATACGCGCCATGAACGGTGGTCAGGTGCAGCTGCCGAAATTGAGAACCAGCGGGCGGTTCCCTTGCGCGTAGTCGAGGATGCGCTGGCTCTGGAAGCCGTCGGGCAGAACCACCTCGGAGTTGGGCGCTGGACCGCCCTCGTGCGCCTGTTTGAAGAAATCCAACTTCTGGCCATGCCACACCGCCTTGAGCGACGCCAGGGTGCAGAGGCGGTTGTCGTCGGACACGCAGATGGGCGGGTCGTCGGGGGGCACCTCCTCGCCTTCACTATTGAGCTCCACATCGGGCTCGGGCTGCCCCCGGCGGCGGCGGCCCAGGAAATGCTTGCGGATACACAAGAAATCGAGGAGCCAGAGCATGAAGGCCGTGCCGAGGAAGCGCGGGAAGAGCACGAGGCACGAGGCGGTCTGGGCACAGAGCCTCAAGGAGTGAAGCAGCAGGGAGCGGAGCATGGTGGCTGCAGGCCCCGAAGCCCCCTGGGACCCCTCGCCCTCTCCGACCACCAACCGCGACGCGGCCTGGCGAGGCATCTGGGCTTCGGCGGTGCAGGGAGTTCAATTTATAGCGGAGGCTTCAATTGGCGGGAGACTCCACCTCCGGCCCGGCCCGCCCCCTTGCAACTTGAGCCCGGAGGGATCACCCAGCTGCGCGGCCAATGCCCTAGAAATCCTGGGCCAAGGGCGGGCGCAGGCGGGCGGAGGGCGGAGCGGCCGGGCCCGGGCCCCGCAGCCAGCTCTCAGGGGCGGGGTACTCCGGTCGCCGCAGCCGCCAGGGACCAGGAGCCCGACCAGGGACCTGAGCGTCCGCCGGGGAGGTCCTCCAGCTGGCGCGAGCGCTGCGCACCGCCCCAGTCCCCGCCGCCTGGCTCCGGCCCGCGCCCCTCTCGCCGCGCACCTGAGCCGAGCTCCCCGGCGGCCGCCGAGCCGCGCCGGAGCTCCGGTTCGCTTCCCGCGCGCCGCCGCCAACGCCGCCCACGCCGCTGCCGCTCGTGCGGGGCCGCTGCCCAGGTGCCGCGGGAGGCCGGGTCCGCGGCCGCCGCTTCAGTGGCCCCGGCTCCCGCCCCGCCAAGGACGCCGGCCCGCGAGGAGGCAACTTTGCGTTCCCGCCGCCTTCCCGGCTCGCCCGCGGGCGCCGCTCGCCTGCCGGAGCCCGCCCGCCTGCCCGCCTTCCGCGCGCGCTCACACTCGCGCCTCGCACACGGCCGCCCCCCGCACCGCCCCGCCACGCACACAGCGCTCCGCGCCCCCCGCTGCTGCCCGAGGCTTCCGCGCGCCGCCCTAGCCCGCGCCGCCCTGGCCGCGCCCGCCCCGTCCCATCTCGTTCCAGTGGGGCGCGGTGGTTCCCAGGTCAGCGGTCGCCCGGGCCGGGCTGAGAGGTGCGGAGGGCAGAGCCCGCGGGCGGGTTAGCGCCCGGAGCCGGAGACCGGAGGGCTGGGAAAAGCGGCGCCGGCCCTGCGTCCCCAGCCGACCCGGGCGCGGGGCGCCACGGGCGTGGGGCGCGGGGCAGCGGGCGCGGGGCGGCGCCGGCCCCGGGCGGCTCTCCCACTAGGGGTAGCTGTTGCCTGAACGCCGGAGCGCTCCCCTCTCGCCGCTTGCCTCGCCCAGCACAGACCCGGCCGCCGGGCGCACCCGTCCCGTTCGTCCCCGGACGTTGTTCTGTACCCCGGGAACGTCGAGACTGGAGCGCCCGAACTGAGCCACCTTCGTGGACCCCGAGCGCGGCGGCGCGACTCACCGCGGAGGCGCCCGGACGCGTCAAGTGCGTACTTTCAACCGTAAATGTGTGCTGAGCGTTTAGGGGTGCGGGGCAACTCCCTAACTCGTGGGGCCTTGGCCAGCCCTGTGGCCGCGTCCGAGACCTTCTGATCCCTCGCTGCAGCGCGCGGCGCGGGGTTGGCGACTTTGGCTCAGGGGCGGCGGGGCGGGGAGGTGCCTTGACCTAGGGTCCCAGCGGCCAGGAGCAAGTCTCGTTTCGCCTTGGACCGCTGTGTTCCCCAGGGCAGGGCCTGAACGAGGTCGCGAGGGTCTGTCCCGCATCTGGGGAGCCGAACTGCCCGGGACACTCGCAGTTTCGGGGACTTGTCTGGAGCGGCGGGGCGGAAGCCCAAGTCCGAAGCCGCCGCCACCAGCGTCCCGTGCGCCCGCGGCCCCAGGGACCAGCCGCCGAACTTCTCAGGACGGAGACAGAGCTCGCCGCCCGGGCCGAGGTAGGAGCTGGCTGGGCTCGGTAGGGCGCGAGCGAATCGCTTTCGGCAGCGAAGGAACTTGTCGGGAAAAGCCAAGCGTAGGACCAGGGCCCCAGCGGGCGCGCATAGACGCCTGCCTTGGGCGGAGGTCCGCCCTCCGGTTTTCGTGGCTTTGGCAGGGCCCTCTGTCCCGTGAGTTCCCCGCTGGACCTGTGACTCCAGGCTTCAGCAGGTCAAGCGCCTGGGTGTGTCTGGAGGATTGGCGGCGGGGTGGCATGAGAAAGTGGCCCCTCTTCTCCTTCTACGTGTTAGGCGATTTCTCTGCTGTCTGGGGCAGGGGCGCACACCGCAGGAACTCACTACCTAGAGGGAAGCCAGCCTGGTCTCTCCCTCTTGCCTCACTGCTCCCCGAGCTGCCCTTCACCACTCTGGGTAAGGGGTCTTTCTGGCCAGGGAATTCTCCTTGGAACCGCCGCCCCCCACCCCGCGTCTGCTCCCCTCCATTAGGGCACCTCTGAGTTGGTCAGTCATCCCCTTTCCTGGCCTCTTTTTGCCGGGAGAGAGGAGAGTAGAGAGAGCAGCCTCCTACAGGGCAGGTCTCTGAGAGGAGGTTTGGGGGGACTTCTGAGGTTGCCCCTCCTGGGCAGAGGCAAGGGGTGTTGAGGGCTCCAACTTCTACCGCACAGTCTCTCAAGCTGTGATTCCCTGATTTCTGGGAGGGTCGGTTTAGGGCTTGTGTCCTCCCCCACCACACAGCATCTGGTCAGGCACATGGGATGGTTCCCCAAGCTCCGTACCCACAGTTAGTTTCAGAAAATGCATAAGCCACCTTGGGCTGGGAGAGCCTTTCTGTGCTGCCTGAGATCTGGTGGCACGTGCATGCATGTGTGTACAAGCGTGTGTGTGTGTGTGCAACTGCGTGCCTACGCAGGTGTGTGTGCATTAATGTGCCTGTGTGTTGAAAGCCTGGTCTGGGTGGTAGGACTGGCCCCTCTTATCACCTCTGCAGGCCCTGCCGAAAAGGAAGCGTCTGATCCACACTCTAGCCCCCGGGACGTTCAGGGAAGCAGCCCTTCCTTAGGGCTGTCAGCTGCCTTGGGGACCTGTTGCTGTGTTGTGGGCCCACAGACTACACTCCGTTCCTCAGGACTCCAGAACACTGGACAAGGCTAGAAGGCCCATTTGGCTCCTGCAGCCTCTTGTGCAGGTGAGGACAGACCCAAGGTCCAGGCGATACTGGCTACTGGAACACAGAACCTGGATTAGTGACTCCCACTCCACTGGGCTCCCTCTTCTAGACCCTCTCTCCTCCCGGGCATCCCCTGTCTCTCCTTCCCATCTCTCTCCAGGGCTGTACCCTTGGCTTACCTTAGACCTGGCTTTTCCTACCTGTTGCCCCTACTGTCTTGTCCTGTCCCAGTGGTCAGGAGGGAGAGTACCGGCCAAAGGCCCAGCTCTACCTGTGACTTAGAGGAGCGCCAGGCATCACCCAGAGGTCCTGGCCTCCAGGGGCCTGGCAGGCCCTACTGTGGGGGAAGCAGAGTTAGAACTGGGGCTGCTTCTCCCGCCCCGAAGCCTGGCTGGGCCTCCCCCGCCTCCCTTTCTGCCTGCCCTCTTACAACTCCAGCAGGGGGCGGGCAGGGGAAAGAAAAGGAGGGACAAGTTGGATGGGGTCCATCTGGTGTCCAGGAGCAACTTGGAGAGAGGCGGGGAGGAGACTGGCGGCAGGGCCCTGGCAGATCGGGGGAGGGCTGGCCTTTGGATGGCCTTCTGATCCCAAGCCCATCCTCCCAGGGCAGTCTGCCCTTGAAAGGGAGGGGCTTGGTGGACCCTGGCGCGGACACCTCCCCTTATTGCTGCAGTGTGGGGCATGGTAGGCGGGTTTGCAGTGGGCACAGCCTCTCTCCAGAGCAGCTCCCAGGACCCAGAGAGACTGTGGCAGAGACTCCCCTCTGGGGTAGGGTGGGTCCTACTGGCCCTTGGTTCCCCTGTGGGAGGACCTCCTGAGACTTCGGGCAAGAGCTGGTCCATGCCTGGAGGACAGTGCTGGCGATCGGCAGGTGTGTGTACCTCGGCGGCCCTGCTGCCTGGTGCTCAGCCCTGCTTCAACACTCACCCTTTGTCTCCCGTCCCCATCCGCTGGCCTCTTGAAGCACAGAGAGCCTCCGGGGACTTTCCTTCCTCTGGCCTTCTGCTCATGCTATTACCTGCTCCCTCTTCCACCTGGAGACCCCCATTTCTCCTCCTCCTCCGCTGCCCTCACCTCTGCCTGGGCCCTCCCAGCTCCCGGGAGACGGGAGACGGCTGAACTCCACTCCCTGCTCGCTCGTCATCCTCTTCAGCGGTCCTCCTGGAGCGGTCCTCGGCGCTGCAGCCTCCACAGCCCCGGGGCTCACCCCCGGCTTTATGTCTGCCTCTGACTCCAGACCTGCCCCTCCCAGGCTAGCCCAGATGAGATCCTGTGCAGTGACTAACCCGAACCAGCATGGGGCAGGGACCCAATAAACCTCTGTGAATCGAGTCAATGAGTGTGGTGTGGACTTACTGAAAACTCCTTTTGGGAGAAATACAGGGATTTCACTCTGTCCTTTTGCACACCTGCAACAGTGAGCCGGGGGCATGTCAGCAGCCGGGGCTGAGCGCAGCTGGTCAGGACCTGCCGCTGTGAGCAGACCCTTCTTGGGAAGTCCCCTGGGGCATGATGTCTAGTGAATGCACCCATGACCTGGTCATTGGCCCAATCTGTTTCCCTTTCTGGGCTAAACAGGTCCTCCCACGGGTACCTGGGCCCTCCCACGGAGGTGTTTACACGTCTCATTTATTTAAAGAATGAATCCTATTCACACACTTGGCTAGGCTGAGCAAGGGGACGCCACACAGGAGGTGGGAGGTGGCTGAGGGACCACAGCTGTGGTCTGAGAAGTGTCCCCAACATGGCAGATCTCCATCCCTCTGGGAGCTCGAGGCAGGCATGGGGAGGTGCTGGGACTCCAGGGTGACTGGGCAGGCTGGGATCCCAGCCAGGACAGCTTGTCAGGGCCCCAGGGCCTGGATCAAGCAGGGGTGTTTGGCAGCATTTTGGGATGGAGAAAGTCTGGGGCTCCCGGCCAAGGCGAGGAGAAGGCCTACAGGGCAGTGCCCTGGCTACTTGCTGTGCGACCCTGGGCATCTCTGGTCTCAGGACTCAGCCGCACCAGGAGTGGGTTGGGTGGTGACTTTCAGTGCCTTCTCCATTCAGTCATTCTACATGCCAGAAGGTTCTCGGAAGTTCTAGTAGACCCCGTGCTGCCCCTGCCTGCTGCTCTGTGGCTGCTGAGAGCCCCACGTGAGGATGAAGCTGCCCCAGTGCTGGTCCTTC